TATCTATCTATCTATCTATCTATCTATCTATCTATCTATCTATCTATCTATTATCTATCTATCTATCTATCTATCTATCTATCTTATCCATTCATCTTTCTATCTCATCTATCATCTATCTTATTTATCTTTCTAATCTATCTCGTCTATTATCTATCTATCTATCTATCTTATCCATTCATCTTTCTATCTCATCTATCATCTATCTTATTTATCTATCTAATCTATCTCATCTATTATCTATCTATCTATCTATCTATTATCTATCTATCTTTGCTGTTAGAGGTTACATCTTTCTAGGGACCAATTGCTGAGCTAGGTCACTGCAGCATCCCAGGGAATAGAGACGCACAGTGTCCACTTTCCCTTCAGACACGAGGAAGGCATGAGAGCTACAGCTACAGATCTTGGGAGCAACCCAGGGAAGAGAGCACAGAAGGTAACCTGCTGTTCTCGCTGTCACAGGCCTCCAGTCCCCTTCTCCAGAGTGTCCAGGGGGATTGTTACTGGAGAAAGAAGGTTGATGCGCTAGCTGCTTGTTTTGCTCTCCAGCAAGCATATGTTTGACACCATCCTCTCAGGGGAATCTCCCGGTCTGCAGTTGTCACTGAAGTGCTCTGGGGATAAGTTCCTTTTAAAAGGACGTTTTCTGAGAAGGGAGTCTAAATCACTGGTCAAACACTAGCAGGTCCAACCCTGAAGTCAATCTCTAGCACCACAATGAAAAAACTAACGGGGGTCGGGGGGTTGGAGAGGTGACCCAGCAATTAAGAACACTTGTTACTCTTACAGAAGACCATGATTTGATTCCCCAGTACCCCCATAATGGCTCACACATCTATAACTCTAGTTCTTGGGGGTCTGATGCCCTCTTCTGGGTTCTGCAGGCACCAGGCACATATGTGTTGTATAGACATACATGCAGGCAAAATGCTCATACATATAAAACAAAATAAGTAAATCTAAAACAAAAACAAACAAAACACCTTAAGGCGAAACAGCAAATTAAATCTAAAAAATGAAGTTGTTTTCATTTTATACTAGCCAGAGCATGTTGCTTCTTCCTGCCTGGTGCTGATGCCTCGGATGTAGGGAGGAGGAGGCTTTTTAACAAGTGGTGCTTTGGGGAAGACCAACAGAAGGGTAGTGGATTTTTTTTTCTTTGACAAGAAAACATCAACCTAAACTCCACGAGACCTTGGAAAGATAGTGATAAGGAATTAGGAGCAGGTGTGATGAAAAATGCAAGTCATTAAATTTAACCTGCTTTGTAATTTTACCTGAATGGCAATTTTACGCTTTCATAGAAGCCATTATGGATCAAACATATTCCCATATATAATATCTTCTATATATCTTTTTTCTGCTGTTTTTTTTCTTGATACAGTGTCTTACTATGTAGCCTTGCAAGCCTGAAACTCCTTATGTAAACCAGGCTGGTCTCAAACTCAGAGATCTGCCTGCCTCTGTTTCTTGTGTCTTGAGTTTAGTGCACCAGCGTGCCTGCTTGTCTGCCTGTCTGTCTGCCTGTCTAAGATAGACTGATAGACGATGTCACGATCGGTTTGGAAAGTTGCAGACTTTGTGATCCCTGGGCCTCACACGGTGAAAGGAGAGAACTGATTTCTGCAAGCTGTCCTCTGACCTCCACATGCCCGTCGTGGCACATGTGCACCCACACAGTAAGTAAATAAAATGTAATACAAAAAAAGAGTGGGAAAAGGATCAGGTGATGGAAGAAAAATGGCAAAGAATAAAAAGGAAAAGAAAAGAAGGGTGGGGAAAACAGTAGAGTGGATAATTTGTGCAAATATTTGGAAAAGGATAATAATTCTTCTTTTAACTACATCTTCTCAGGTTTGTTCTCTTTTATACACAACTGAAATTCTTTCCTTTGCTAATTATTTTGCAAACATTTAGCTTTGGCCACTTAGATAAATACGGATTTGGAGAAACTGTATTAATTGATCCCTTTACCTGATAAATAGCTATTAAAAGCCTTTTTATGTTAGGTTCAAAGTTTAGTGGTAGAGCTGAGCAAGACAGAAAAACCTTTGGAGATTTGTTAGCATTGAGCTCACTAGCACACCATAATTCACAATCTATCACAATAAATGTCTTCTCTTGAAATCATAGCAGGAGAACATGGTAGATGAAAGTATCTGTCCCAAGGTTACATACGGGTAGGTGCTTAACGTAATTGCTTTGTAATGGCACTATTAAAACTCTAAGAATAGTCAGAGTACTTTTTTGAACGTTATAAGGCAATGGAAAAATTTCTATAAAGAATATTAGAAAGTTATCGATCAATCAATTGAAACCTTCTGGTTAGGATAATAGATGTATTTAACCTGTGGGTATGCAATTAGTGTGATTGAGGAGCCTCCTTTCCCACTCCTGAGGTTCCTTCTGCTTGACAGGGTCCTATTAGTGTAGATCTTAGCAGAGCGTGCCTGTTCTTCTGCCAATTCTGTACTTGTTCCGCCCTGGGGGTGATCAATGGGTTTCGAGAAAGAAATTGGATATGGATAACTCAGCTTCCCCCTCTTGGGATGTGATGGAGGAGAGGAAGCTTGTGCCTTGCTTTCTGATTCTGCAGGGTCAGGCCCTGAGAGGGAGTGTGGAAAACATTCCACACCCGAGGTCTGCATCACCGCCTACCTGGTATGGACCTAGACGCCATACCTTCCACGAGCTAGGTAAGGTCCTAGGGGTTAAAACACAAGACGCACAACACAGAGATAGAGAGTTCGAGTCATTCTCAGGAGGAGAGAATTCCCGTTTATTCAACTTAATCCAGGGTTAAATACTTTGTCCTCAGAAGAGGAGAACCCCCTCCCAGCCCGAGGGGGATGGGGAAGCTGGCACCGAGTGAGCTTCTCTGCAGGCAGGTGGGTGAGGGGTGCAGGGCAGTGTCAGACAGGTGAGAGGTACCTTGGTGCCTGGGCTCTCCCAGGCAGGTTGAGAAATTACCATTTTAAGGTAATATAAAGCCCTAGGCTATTTTACCAGGCTAGAGCAGAACAAGCATGGAACTTAGCAGGAAGCTTTAGCTGGTTGCCAAAACAGTCCTTGATTTGCATCCCAGGGAGCAAGCAAGGCCCAGGCCTTACAAGGGAGGGATGGATTTGCCTAGGAACTGGGTAGGTACATCTGAAAAAATCTGGATTCAGTACTGCTGAGCCTTCTTGCTCCTACACCAGCCTTCCCACCTAAAGCTTTAGAAGTAAAGGTGAATTCTTTTGATTCCCATCTGTCTTACTTTTATATTCTTTTCTTATTAAGTCGGAATTAGGGAAGAAGTGGATGATAGTTACCGATTCTTGTGTTCCTCGGTTTTTCCATCACAAATACCTGTGAGAATCAGAGAGGAAAGATTTCCTTTGGCTCCTGGTTTCAGAGAGTTCAGTCCACAGTCATCTGGTCTGTGTTGAGGTGGAATATCACAGGGGAAGGAGCAAAGTCTCTCTCATCATAATGACCAAGAAGCAGGGGAGATAGGGAGGAATGGGCCAAGGTAAGACACAGCCACAAAGGGCATGATCCTGGGGCCCTTTCTCTGGCTAAGTCTCCTGTCCTAAAGTTTTCAAAATATGGGAGCCATTTATATCTAAGCCATAGCAATTCTTTAGATGAAGTTAATATTGCCCTAGTAATTGTGTATATAAACAAATAAAACTCAGCGGAAAGTGTTCAAGCTCTTTAGTCGACCTGGGTTTTGGGTATAAGAGGGTAAAGCCAACTAGTCTCTGACTGATCTTGTTCTTCTTTTAACACTCAGAGGTTAAAAAAAAATAGCACTAATTA